CCGTAAAACAAAGCAGTTTTGCCTTTGTTATCGTTTGCATCGATCTCAGCACCACATTCGATCAATTTTTCCAGCATGTCTTCATTTCCTGTCTCTACAGCATARAACAAAGCAGTTACGCCATGAACGTCGGTAGCATTAATATCAGCACCACTCTTGAATAATTTTTCGACCATTTCTTCATCGTTTAGGTTTACAGCATAAAACAGAGCTGTTCTGCCATATATATCGGATGCATTGACTTGAGCACTACACCCGATTAGTTTTTCCACAATGTTTTCTTTTTTTTCAATTACAGCATAAAACAAAGCAGTTTTGCCATCTTCATCAGTAATATTGATATCAGCACCCCACTGGATTAATTTTCCAACCATTTTTTCATTTTCTTCCTGTGCAGCACAAAACAATATAGTTGCGCCATTTTTAGCACATGCGTTGACATCACTACCAAAGTTAATCAACATTTCCACCATTTCTTCATTTCCTTTTTTTACAGCATAAAACAAAGCAGTTTCGCCTTCTTTATTGGAGATTTTGGTTTTTGCACCATATTTGACTAATTTTGCCACTATTTCTAAATGTTCATTCCATACGGCATAGAACAAAGGAGTTCTCCCATCTTCATCGGTATCGTTGACATCAGCACCACTCTTGAGTAATTCGTAAACCATTTTTTCGTTTTGTTTCCCCACGGCATAAAACAAAGGAGTTTTGCCATCTTTATCAGTAGCATTGATTTCAGCACCACACTCAATTAATTTTTTGACCATTTTTTCATTTTCTTTTTCTACAGCATAAAACAAAGCAGTTTTGCCATCTTCATCAACCTCATTGACATCAGCCCCACACTCGAATAGTTTTTCGACCATTTTTTCATTTTCTTTTTCTACGGCATAAAACAATGCCGTTCTGGCATTTGCTATGGTTTCCGTGATATCAGCACCATTCTTTATTAATTTTTCAACTATTTCTTTACATTCTTTCACTACAGCATAATAGAAAACAGTTCTACCATTATTATCGTTTCTTTTGATATCAGCACCAGAATCGATTAATTTTTCTACTATTTTTTCTTTTTGTTTCCGCACGGCATAAAACAAAGGAGTTTTCCCATCTTCATCGGTAGCATTGATATCAGCACCACGTTGGATTAGTTTTTCCACTATTTTTTCATTTCCTTTCTTTACAGCATAAAACAAAGGAGTTTTCCCATCTTTATCCGTAGCATTGATGTCAGCACCACGTTGGATTAGTTCTTCCACTATTTTTTCATTTTCTTTCTTTACAGCATAAAACAAAGGAGTCCTGCCATCTTTATTAGTAGCATTGATTTCAGCACCACACTGGATTAATTTTTCTACCATTTTTTCATTTTCTTTCGTTATAGCATGAAACAAAGCAGTTTTGCCAGTTTCTTCGCTATTATTAACACCAGCACCACACGTGATTAACGTCTCGACATGTTCTTGATTGCCTGGCCGAACAGCATCCAAAATACGAGTTCGTGATCGTTTTTGATCAGGTTGATGTGATAACTCGGTCGACATCGTGTATACTGTTTTACTTTCATTTGGTGAAAAAAAATAAGCGAAACAACTTGTTGTTCTCTTTACATTGCGGGTATCTAATAATGTCAGCCATACCTCTACTTTTGGAACTAGGTGGATTGTCTACTAAATCCTGATATTTGTTGTCGTGTACTCAAGTGAACGCTTTGGAAGATGTTTGAACCTTCGTTTCGCGTGGAATGGAGTTTTCATGGTCCTTTCGATGTCGTTTCTACATTGCGACAGATAGTCTTAATAAAGAATGGTCTTTACGAGCACTAACTTAGACTAGCTGCATCAGATTTTGCATCAAGGCATGAAAGAGAAAGTGCTCAAGTTGTGTACCTACTCAAGTGGACGCCTTGGAAGATATTTGAGCCTTCATTTCGCGTTTATAATGGAGTTTTCATGGTCCTTTCGATGTCGTTTTCTTCATTGAGACAGACAGTCTTACCAAAGAGTGGTTTAATTTTGCCCGCACTAAATTCCTCTAGTCCATAAGATTTTTGCAACAAAGTCGGGCACTGAAATCGAAAGTAAAATCGAAAGTACATAGCTGCAACATAATATGCGTGACCCAAGTCTAGCAGAAAGGAGGTCATATTACAGAATTTACCGGCAATTTAATCTGTGTTTAAATTTAGGATTAGAAAAATATAGTCACACAATATTTTTTTTAAACTGAACCCGAATTTTGTTAAACGTGACGCAGGTACAATRCATATTCTTTTCAACACACTATGATCTTATTCTTCCTTTTTTTCTGAAGTTTTTACTTTGTATATTATAGCCATTCTGAGGTTGAGTAAAAGACTTGGTCAAGTTAACATTGCAGAGCCTTGTTAGTCAATCAGGTTGGAMGTGATTGGTTGGCTGAAGACAATATGCCAATTTGAAAATATAAACGTAACGGTGACCAAGGAAAGGTATAGCCTCCTCCGCAGGCTACGCGCTAGGGTTTTTGTTGCGTATTGCTGCTGTTCGAGAAGGATGGGTATCCTGTGGTGTAAACGAGGAAGACTATGACGAAAGGGGGAAGGAAAGCTCGGTCGACGGTCATCTAACGCAGGAAGCAAAGTACGGCAAAAAGAGAGAGAGAGAGAGAAAAGAGGAAAGAGACGCCTGCGGATAAGGCTAGGAAAGGTATTTGGGTCACGCATTACTCAAGACATGCCAAGGCGTGTTCAATCATGTGATAATGAATCTTTTGAACCATGGAAACAGATACTAGCTTTTGCTACCTTACGGTTTTAATTAGTGCACATAAATATGGCAAGATCGATAATGTTCACATGGATGTAATCTAAGAATAGTCTA